TTAGCCTGGCCCAAAAGACCAAAAATCGTATGTTCTCCCTATGTGGACATTAGATCAAGGGCAAACACAACAAGGGGATTGGACTATGAGCACATGATAAAAGCGAGAGCACACAAGGGAGGGTGAGGATAGGTAAGACACCTAAAAAACTAGCTAGCATTTGTTGCCCTTAACGCAGAGAAACTAAAGCAGATACCTTAAAGCAACTGAGGCCAATAGGAAAAGGGACCAGGACTAGAGAAAAGGTTAGATCAAAAAGAATTAACCTAGAAGGTAACACCCACGCACAGGAAATCAATGTGAGTCAATGCCCTGTATAGCTATCCTTATCTCAACCAGCAAAACCCTTGTTCCTTCCTATTATTGCTTATACTCTCTACAACAAAATTAGATAAGGGCAAAATAGTTTCTGCTGGGTATTGAGGGGGGGAGCGGGAGGGGTGGAGTGGGTGGTAAGGGAGGGGGGGGCAGGGGGAGAAATGAACCAAGCCTTGTATGCACATAATGAAAAATAAAATAAAAAAAAAAAAAAAAAAAAAGAGATTGGAAAAACTCAACCTAAAGCTTCATTTGAAAGCAACAACAATTCAGAAATATTTCAAGGATAATGAGGTATCCCAATTCCTGAACTTCAAAGTATACTAAAGAGATCTAGCAATGTAAACAGGCATGAGTTACTGGCACAAAACAGTATGAAGCCTGGGAAAACGAACCAGGAAGTTCCAGCTGGTGAATACACGTAGCTATATACACCTAATTTTTGACAAAGGTATCAAAAACATATAGAGAAAAGGCAGCGTCTTCAATAAAGGTCTTTGGGAAAAGTGGATATTTGTCTGAAGAAAACTGGAACTAGATTCATGTCTTTCACTCTGTACAATATCAACTCAAAGTGTATTAAAAACCTAAATATAAGACTTGAAACATTGAAGTTCATAAAGGAAAGAACAGAGAATACACTGGAATTATAGGCGTAGGCAATGACCTCCTAATGGAACTTAAATGGCTCAGTAACTAAAAGAAAAGATGGACAAATGAGATTACAAGAAATTAAAAAGCTTCTGTATAACAAAGGAAATGTTCACCAAATTGAAGAGGCTGCCCACAAAATGGGAAAATAAAATCTTTGCTAGTTGTTCATCAGACAAGGGATTAATAGCCAAAATATACAGATCACTTAAAACTAAACTCCCCAAAACTCAATGACTCAATGAAGAAATGAGCAAAGGAACTGAATAGAGCCTTTCAAAGAAAGAACTCCAAATGGCCAAAAACACATGAAGAAATGCTCACCATCTTTGTTCATAAAGAAGATGCGTAGCAAAACCAGGTTAAGATTTAACCTTACTCCTGTTAGAATGGCTATTATCAAGAACACAAACAACAATAAATGTTGGCAAGGTTGTGGGAAAGAAGTAATCCTCATACAATACTGGTGGGAATCTAAATTACTACAACTATGGAAAACGGTAAGGAGGCTCCTCAAAAAAATAAAAATGGAACTGCCATATGACCCTGCAATTCTACTCCTATGGATATACCTGAAGAAATGCATGTCAGTTTACAAAGAGGCACTTGCACACCCATGTTTATTGCAGCATTATTCACAATAGCTAAGCTATGTAAACAGATGGCCTATTACTGACCAATAGATTAAGAAAATGTGGTATTTATATACAATGTCATTTTATTCAGTCACAAAGAAGAAAGAAATCTTGTTGATTATAGGTAAATGAACAAAACTGGAGAACATCATCTTAAGTGACGTTATCCAGATTCAGAAGGTCAGAAGCCACGTTTTCCCTCATATATGGAATCTAAACCTAATACAAATACAGCAATATAATGAAAAACAGTTCACAGCAATGGGAGGCCACCTACAAGAGAAGGAGGGTAAAGAAGGAAGTTAAGAAAGTAAAGTTGATGTACTGTCTATACAAGAATGAACATAGAATTTTTTATCCTGTCGAAATCACCATTAGAAGGGGACTAAGATACAAAGGAGAAAAGTAGAGGAGATGAACCAATTCAAGTTTTAATACATGGAAATGTCACAAGGAAACTCTGTACAGCTGTTTTAAACAAACAAAAAAGTCATTTTTTTTTCTTTTATAAAATCAGAGAACAAGAGGACAGAACAGGTCTTGTCTGGGTGGTTAGGTACAAGAGGGAGTGGGGAGGATGTGGGGAAAGGGTATTGGAGGGAAATTATCCTGCAAATACTGTGTACACATGTATGTAAATGGAAAAATGAGACCTGTTGAAACAATTCCAAGAATGTGTGGCAGGGAGATAAAAGAAAGTGATGGAGAGGGTGAATTCATGTATAATATATCTAATATGTTGTAAGAACTTTTGTAAATGCCACAATGTACCCCCAGCACAACAATAAAACCAATTTGAAAAAAAAGAAAATAAACATCCAAGAACAACAGAAACTCATTTAGCTGACACTGGAACTTTGTTTGGGTAAGAAATTTTTAAGGAAAATTAATGTATTGGACAATAGATACGTAGAATTTATAATCAGAAGGTGAGAGTCCAACCTCAGAAAATATCTGAAACCTGATACATCACAATACAGCAACTTAAATGAAATGATTTGAAATTTGTGAGGTCAAAGGTTTTAATCTTAAAAGGCATTGTTTCAAGAGAATAAACAGTAGAGTGGGAAGGCAGTTCAAATGGGAATGGCAGCACTTAGAGGCTTAGAAGAGAAAGGACAGAAATATACAAGTTGTAGGAATAAAGAATTTAGAAAAGAATCTTAGAGGAACAAAAGACACAATGAAGCATTTTTAAGAATAATAAAAATAAGGCTGGGGCATAGGTCAAGTGGTAAAGTGCTTGCCTATTAATCTCATGTCCGTTACTTTGATTCCTAATATCACACAAACACACACACATCCCATTTTTTTCATTGAAAAAGGAAACTATTGAATACTATTCATATAATATTTCAGTATGAATAAATTGACTTTTTTCTTCAGGTAGAAATCTCTAGTCCCCGCCAGAGAAAAAATTAACAGAAAGCACAGAGCACACACATTTGCAAAAAGAAAATTACCAAGGACATAACCATTAAAATCCAAAATTCAAAATTGATATGGCTAAAACAAGAATATTAAAAGGAGTAAATTGCACTCAAGAAATGAATTGCATAATAGAGCAGAGTGTTCAATAGAATAAGCGATTGCAAAATAGATGAAAAATAGTCAAAACAATATAATAATAGAAAAAAGTGATAGAGATTACAGAGGCAGATGTTGTAATGCAGGTATAATGTAATGCCTTTTACATTCTCAGATGTAACAAAACTAACTTTAAAAACTATAGTCCAACACAAATTTCTGTAACTGAAAAATACATCAATCAACCTACCAAATTATCTAATGTCCCGGGGAAAAGACTTGGGGTTACCAACTCTTAAAAGGGATTATAAGAATAAATAGACTTTTATGATCAAGAAAAATCCATCTGAGTCTTAAGGCAAAAATACCAATTCATTTAACCAAGGAGAGAAAATAAAATGGCATCTGATTTCCTTTGAGAAACACAAAAAAGCAAGATAAAGTATGGAATAAACATTGAAGTGGAGGTGCTTTCTCACAAGATTAATTTCAAAATTGCAAGATGACATTAAAAAATAAAATGACTGATCATTTTATTTTGAAATGATCAGGTCATACTCCAAATAGAGAAAGAAAGATGATGAAGTTAAATTACAATTGGGTCCAAATTAAGACTAAAATTTATAATCTTGGTGAAAGTTAACATATTTATTAGGTTAGTTTGTGTTTTGCTTTGAAAGTAAAAACATTAGACAATCAGAATATTTTTAATATGAGGTATACATACTTCAAAAGAAAATTCATTGTATCTATCAAGTATAAGTAATATTTAACCCCTTAATAAAATGTGGGATATACTTAATACAAATGAAGAAAATAAATCATAATGACATCTGCATTATATGCATTTTTTCATCTTGATAAAGCACAAGTATTTTCAGATCATAGTATAGCTAATTTAGATGTTCATAGGAATACTCGATGAACAACCAAAACTGAAAAAGTTGAGTATTAATCATAATATCACAAAATATTGTAATAAAAAACATATTATTACATTAAACTTATTCATATATCCACAAATATTCTGTTATGGTATATTCACTTTGCAGTTCAATGTATTTTAATCTGTATAACAATCATTTAGAAAAGTGCTTAATATGCTTCATCAGCCTACCATAAATAACATAAGGAAAGAAAATGTGAAGAAATTCATTTGTTAAGCCATGCTTAAAGAGTCAAGGATGCCTTTATGTTTTTCATCACAATTTTTATTAACATATACTAATTATTCAAATAATGGGTTTCATTATGACATTTTTATGCATAAATACAATTTATTTTGATCATTTTCTTGCCCCTATTACCCTTTAATATGAAGCTCAAGTGTTGACTATTCTTATTGGAAATTTTGTATTAGATATAGTAAGCATTCAGAAATCCAACATATAAGCAAATGAAAGGACTGATTTTCCAAAAATATCTTTAAATGACAAACATACTCTCAACATTTTAAATGTAAGTCGGAAAGTACTAAATTTAAAATATTCATCCAGGGATTGATATTTTCAATGTCACAGTTTTTCAAAACCTATCAATCTCATTAGAATTTGGATGGGATTACATAAATGCTGGCAAACCATATCATATGGAGCTTCATCAGCTAATTTCAAACTGCTTTATTTCTTAATTATTTGCTCACTTTTCACCGATGTTACCAATTTTCATTTGTATGTGTAAGGGTGACATGGTTGTATGTAAGTAAGCACACTGGCGATTATGATTTAGTTCATGTATTTGGAAAACAGGGATAACAGTGAAAAAATTTGGTACTCTTTCCAACTATTATTATTTCCCCTAAAAAGAAGATACGAGGCTTTTAAAAATAATTAACAAAATTCACTCTAAGTGACAGAAAAGAAAAAAGAACTAACCTGTGTGATTAGGATGAGCCAAGATTACATTGATGAAATGATTTCCAGCTTCACAAATCTACAAAACATATTAAAACTTTTCAGTGTGATCCATCTGTGTCTATTTAAATATATATATATATATATTCTAGAGATGTATAAAATTCATGTAATATATTGCAATATTCAAGAGATACATATTTACTGTAATAGTTAGAAAAGAAAAAATAGTGGTTCTGGGGTTTGAATTTAGGGCTTTGAGCTTCCTAAACTGGTTTTCTATTTAATCCAGGCCTCTAGAATTTTTCAGCTATGGTCTCAGGTTTTTGCCAAGAGTAGTTTCAAAACATAAGACTCCTACTTATGACCTCCTTTGCAACTGGAGCCATAGAAGTGTACCACCACACCTGGTTGAGATGGGGTCTCACTAACTTTTCTTCCCAAGACTCGTCCCAAGATAGTCCTTATCTCTACCTCTTGTGTTGCTGGGATTACAAGTGTGTACCGCTAGAAGAAGAAATTTTATAACAATGCATAGCTCAAGTAGTAAAGTCTGTTTTAGAAGCACAAAGGCCTGTGGTAAAACCCCAAGCCCACAAAAAAAAAAGTGAGACATTCTTTCAAAATTAAATATAAAACAGACTTGAGCTTGGATGAAGTAGTAGAGGACTTGCCTAGCATGTACAAGGAAAGCTCTGGATTTAAACCCCCCAGGGTGGGAAAAAGAACATCATCAACAAAATCACATAGGGTTCATTATCTGCTTTGTACTTGTATTTGTTACTCTGAAAATATTTTATTACCATGAAGACACATCAAGGAAATGTTCCTGAAGTTGCACTTGGTAAAGGTGTATATTCTCAGTTCATTAACACAGAAGCAGCTTTTCTAGTGCAAGAAGACAGTTTGAGTCCCAGCTGGTTTCAACTCAGTTTAGAAAACCTATTGTAAGAGGTATGTCTCCACAGGACACTTGCTTGTCTTCTAACCTCTTGAGCTTGACTGTTTAGTAGGCTACTGAGCTCTTCTAAGAAGTACAAGTGTTTACCAGGAACTCCAGGGACTAATAAATGTTGCTAATTTGCAATGCATTTGAAGGTAAGATTCTTCCTTTGTCTGCAATATTTGACTTACTGAATTTAGCAAAAGGCATGTTTTCCTCTCAGAAACACTTACATCGAAAGTGGATTATGTCACTCAAAAAGCTTTACTTATTGTTTCTTCAACCTTTACATATATCTCAAAAGTGGAGCGTTGTTTTAACTCAGTATCCAATTCTTCTGGTCTCTTAAAATATATTTTTTGTGTGTTTTCTTTTTCAGTACTGGGATTAGAATTCAGGAGCTCCAGTTTACTAGGCAAGCGCTCTATTTCTTGAGAATCACTTCCAGTCCAATTATATGATTTTGTTATTTTCTTCTAGACTTTTCTGTATGCATTTGTTCACATCAAATAATAGTTCTATGGACTTTATCTTCTAGATAATTTATTCTGAAAATCTGGCATATATTTAACACATTCTAAGTGTTAGGGAAGTAATTGAAAGTGAAAACAAAAATCTCATGATCTACTCTTTTATAAAAAATGCCATTTTAAACAATCATCTTCATTAATTTTCTTAGTACATGATGTTAACAAATACTCATGATAAATTAAAATTATATATGAAGAGTCAGGAAACACTGTAATACTGATTTCAGACAAAAATAATTGTACACAATGATTGTAGGAAATGCTTTTGATTTCTTGAGTTACCATCAAAAAGGAAAAGCTGAATTTAAAATTTTTATATAAAAATCTTTAGTTTATTTTACATTTGATAATAGATAAGAGTTTGGGTTTTTGACTGCATGAATCAGTGGGTTTACATGTCACCCTTTCACTTACTAGAGATGAAGGATGGAGGAAGTGAATTAGACACAGAAATTTGTCTCTTCACCTATGTACAAATACAGATTCTTAACCGTAATGAAATTTAGGATGATGAAATGAAGTAGTTGGCACACATTATGTGATCAACAAGCCTCATATAATCATTTTGGATATAAAAGTAATCAATAAAGATTGTCATGCTAAATTCATCTTCTCTGAATTTCTGTAACACACATGGCTAATAATACTTAAGGTACCAAATTAATAATTTGTTATATGTAGTTTGGTTTTCGTATCTTGTGTATCATACTTTTTGCACAATACAAAACAAAATATTACTATTGAGCAAATCTTAACAAAATATTTGTGAAATGATGAAAAAATTTAAAATATGGCTCTTTTGAAACCATATTTCTTTTCTGTTTTCACTGAGACTATCGATATTTTATGCTTATGTACTGAAACAAATATTTGCTACTTCCTGTTTATCACAACAAAATCAAATAATAAAGTTATCAACATCTACTCAAAGTCTGGGCTATAAACAAAATATCATTTAGGTATCAGTTATATCACCAGAGCATATATTATTATCTTAATTTATAAATTAGTTTCCTTTCCAGAAACATGGAAATTATATACTATAAAAAATATGAAATTTATTAAAAAAATAGAAAAATTGTAAAGAAGACAAACTTTTCATGTAACCATTTACTGATAAAATAACTATCTACACATATTCTGAGGGTATATAGAACATCTATATCTATATATTTATAGATGCATAGTGTATTTTCAAGATAGAAACTTCCTAATGAATTTTAAGAACAATTGATACTATACTAGTAGTAATTTTCATCTTACACTCTAGATTTAAATTTCTAGGTCTTGCCATAGAAGTTGTAATACTAAGTGACCTCAGTAAAGTGTGGTTGATAAAATTTCCTCTTATGTCAGAGGTAGGTAAGATTATAAAGCCCTGTCACTGTTATAAAACTCAATATATGGTCCTATCCCTGCTTAAAAATTCAGTAACACTAATATTAAGCATTGAAGTATTTCTCAGAATAATTTACATATTTCTTCCAGATTTACTGTAATTTAAGTTAGATGTCTTTGTCATATTATAGGTTAACAAAATGATTTAATAAATAAGGAATTTCCTATCATTAGGTTTGATGTTATAATTGATTCTCGGCCTTTTGGCTAAGATTAAGTGTAGATTTGATGTTACATTATTCAAAGTATAACTTTATTTTGATAATGAAGTTGTTATATCTTGTGGTCCCTGTATAACACATATGGCAGAGATATTATAGACAACAAGCATTCAGGACAACAAAAATACTAAGGAAACAGTGTAAAAAAAAAAGAAATAACACAAAATATGCAAGAAGCAGCATTATTGATTGCATTATAATAGTGTAACCAATGAGTTAATAATGTCATATCTAGCTTACTACTCCAAAATTAATGACTTTAAAAAATTTCCTTTTTCCAACAAATTTGATGTAATAAAAAGAATGAGATTTTGTAAACATCCCAGAAAAAGAGGTGTAAGATTTCAGAGCATTGCCAGAACTGCCTTTGTAGTCAAGACCAAGACAACCTAAGTTTACAAAGTCATTAGGTGCCTTCTGCACAACACGTGAATATACTTGACACTACTCAAGTGTATACACAGAATATGTAGTAAATGTTATGGTAAAGTTTATATTATATACTCTTTTACCATTAAATTAAAAAAAATCAATAGTTTAGGTGTTTTAAATAAGAGTGAACTTTAGAATGGGAAGTAAGGGAAAATTCAGATGGACTTTACATTTGGATGCACATGTATGGTTTAAAGTATGTTTTAAAAATATTAATTTGTACTTAATTTCATATAGTCTTCATTGAATGGCTTGACTATTTGCTTCACATTAGTATTCACTGAATAATACAAGAATGTTAATGAGTCAGAAGTACATTCTCTTTTTCTGAGTTTTCATCATATGAACAAATATGAAAAAGCCAACATAATTGAAAGAATCATGATACTAACACAGGAAAAATCATCTTTTCCTTAACCATGTTTATTTCTTTATCATTCTCATTCCTCTCACTTCTCTGACATTTTAACTTCATTTTTAATCTGTACTACCAAATATTTCACAATGTAAGTAACAAAGTAATAACACACAATGGATATTGGTTAATATATTAAAAGTGATGACTATGCAACATAGTGTGCTCTATTTTTTTATGAAAATATCCCCATTATATTCCACTGTACTGAGATTGAAAAATGTAATTGGATCTGACATATGGCATTGCATCAGTAAAGACACTCATTGTTCGCTGCTAAGGAATTGTGCTTTGGTCAGTAGCATGTTGTATTTATACCACAGTGACCAGTCAGAAAAAGAAAGGGAGGAGAACAACTTTCAACAGCTCATTATTACACTATGTACCCATAGTATGTTCATTCTAATAAGTCAATAAAATGAACCAATTCCTTCTTCAGTTTCTGAAAATGATGTTTCTGTAGAACAAAATCCAAATATCTTACTATAGAAATAGTAACCACCAAAGTCAGGCTCTATCATTTTGCTTTACTAAAATTTCTCAGGTTTACACTTAATCCTAATAGCATAAACTCATCATATTTTATAGGAATGAAAATGTTCTGTCTTATCTTTGCATGCAACTTTTCTTCTCATGTTTTTATTTGTAACTATTATTTACTATCATGAATAAATATCAGATGAATCGCTCACTTGTAAATTTTTCATTTGTGAAATAACTGATAGCAATTTTATTAATTCAATGGAAATAAAGAATCTTCTAAAATATTTCAAACACCCATTCTTCGGTTTATTTTAAGTCTCAGCTATTTTTTTCTATTTATGGCAATAACAGCAAAAACATTATAATTTGTATTTATTTTACATTAGCATTTCAAAAATAAAAAAATTTCTTGGTTAGTGTGATTATATCAGTAACTTCAACTTTGGGGATCAGTTTCAACTTTAGGAGATCATGTCTATACACGTAGAATGAAATGCTTTTTGATAATGTAAGCCCATAGTAAATTCAGCAATCATAAATCTTACTTATGATAATTTACATCACTGTGTTTATAAAATTATATACAATTTCCAATGGCTAATTTCTACACATTTATTATGGAACCCCTTAATATACCTAAAAAATACTTTTCTGATA